GAGATGAACCTGAAGCCGTTCCTCGGCTTGGGAGCCGGCCAAGCTGCGTTGGCCAAGTGTCTTCTTTATTCCCTTCCAGGCTTTTTCCGGGCCGGGGTGTATTTCCACAGCGCGGAGTCGGGTGGAAAATTACTGGCGTTGCTCCGGCGCCAAGTCCCTGCCCCGGCAGAGGTGAGCTAAGGCTGCGCGTTCAGCTGGGGAACTCCTCGCCATGGGATGCTGCTGGGGCCGGGATGCCTGGAAGCAGCAGCTAGATCATTTAAGGAGAGAAAAAGATAGATATTAAAACCAAATATACCCGTGTTTCCTTAGAAATACTTCTCTGGAGACGTCTGTGCATCGCAACCCATGGGAGAGGGGTTTTGGCAGCCCAACAGCCGCCTGGGGTTTGCTCTGCAGAAGCCTCACGAGGAACAACAAACACATCCCAAACGGCACAAAGCGGCAGATAAACCCAGATAAGCGGCGTGCACCAACTTCAACGGCCCGAAAACCCAACCCAAGGGCCTCGCAAACAGCCACGGTAAAGAAACGCCGCAAAGCTGAGGAGCAAACAAGCCGTCAAGCTTCAACTTGCAAGGGCAGGTTTTGCAAGAGGCTCTCCGCGCGAGCACGTGGCTGCTGTTGCCGCAGGGAAGGGGCAGAATAATGGGAAATAAAAGCCAATACCCCACCCAGAGGGAGGAAGGCGGCATCGGCAGAGAGCTTGGGGTGACGGGGACCACCCTGGGTTTGGTACAACGACTTGTGGATGGATGGATGGATGGATGGATGGATGGATGGATGGATGGTGAGTGGAGCAGGGAGCAAGCCCTGAAGATCTCCTTTCTGCTAGCCAGGGTGTAACTCACAGACCACAAGGCCGGCCAGCCGAGATGCTGCTCCTCCAAGGACACAGAGGGGAACATCGCGATCCTCCTGTTACGGGAAACCCCCGATTTCAACATGCAAACCAAGAAACCGAGACTTGGGCGTTGCTGTCGGCTCGGGTGCAACATCCCCGTGACCTGGGAGCATCCATCCCCATGCGGTTCCCCGGGGGACTCGCACCTGCATCCTTTGATGCCTCCCAAAGCTTCTCTGTGGGTATTTTCCCTCATCAGAAGGTGTGGGACACCCCCTTGGGCTCTTTGCAAGGGCTGAGTGGATGCCTCCGGGCTCAGGGATGCTTGCCCGACCCAGTTCCCGCGCCGCAGGGCTCCGGGGCGGCAGAGCCAGGACCGGCAGGATGGATGGAGCATGTCCCGCTCGTATCCAGGTCACTGGAAAACCCCCTTGGCTGGGAGAGAAGCAGCACATGGACATCACATACCTCAGAGGGCCGGTCCTGGTCTCTCCCCTCCGCTCCCGTGGCTCCACGACTCCAGCCGTCCTAGTTTTCTGTTGAAACTAGCAATTTTGGCGAGTATTTGTGAACAGTTTTGGGGGGAGTTGGCTCTTCCAGCCAGGAAGGGCAAGCCCAGGTGTTTGGTGCCCATAAAAAGCAAACATCTGTTTGGCAAACACAGCAAAACCACTCATCGCCTCCAAATCCCCTCCTTCCCACACAGCAATTTGCAGTCCCTGGAAAGGGAAAAAATAATAATAATAAAAAAAAAAGAATAACAATAATAAAAATGAGAGCTCTTGGCCGTTGCCTGCCACAGCAGATCTGGATGCAGGCCCAAAGCTGGGGCTGTGGGACCTTCTCCAGCCCGCTACAGGAGAGGAGGTTTCACTAGCCAACTGCTTTGAAGTTCAAGCTCTCCTTCTCCATCCCTCTGTTACTGGGATGGGGGACTTTAGGGCTCACCTGCTGGTCCCCAGGTTGCCTCAGCACAGCTTTTGTTGTGAAAACCCTCGGTGAAGATGACTAGATGTGAGGTGGTGGTGGGACGAGCCATGCTCCTGGTGCCAGGACAGCTTTACCACCCCGAGTAGCGGAGAGGGATGGCCGCTCAGGGCTGAAACGACCCTCTGCCCTGCACCTCCTCCTCCCAGTACCCACATCCTCATCATCTTACAGGTCATGGAAACCTGTTGCAAGGAGGCTTACCCCTGGCTGAGCCCTCCCTCGGGGATACCTGCTGCTGTCTGATCTCCAGCAGCTGGATCAGCCCTTCCCACTCGATGCCTTCAGGGAACCGCAACTTGGCCCCAGCTCAGCATCTCTCCCCAGGCTGGGTGACTCCCCAGCCGGCCTTGGTGCCAGCAAAGTCCCTGGGGACTTCCCAGGGCTGGCCCGGCTGCGTCCATCCCCCTCAGGGTCAGAGCTGAGCAAGAGCTGCCACTTGGGGCTGGGCAGCCTTTGAGAGGGCTCACATTGAGTCGCCCAGGCTTGAAGGTGCCCCGATGACACCCAGGCATCTCCTCCTCCTTCTCTTGTTTCCTTGTGAACTTTTCCTGCTCTCCTTTAGCCCCGTTCAGCAGCCAGAAAGGTGGAGACCATCCCAAACCCCGTGTCCTCCAAGGAGCGGCTAAGCCAGCCCTGCAGCAGGGCAAGCAACGGGATCACACCTGGAAAAGCTGGAACCTGCCTGGGATGTTCCCACCACCAAGTTGAGATCCACATATTAAAAGCACTCAAGAGCGCCCAATCTCTAATTACCTCCCCTATTTATTTATTATCTCCCTTTGCCATTGCTCATCACCTGCCGTCGCACATTTCCTTTGATTTTTGCTGCAATACAAACCCACTTACCAGGTATTTTCTTGGTCAAGGACTTGGATTGCACCATCCCGATGACTATCACTACTGAGAAGCTGCTGGAGAGATGGACTGGAGAGGGCAAGTCTTGACCAGCCCTGGCTTCGCTCTTCATTTCTGCCATTGTATTCTCCAAGACGCTGCTGGTGCGCTCAGTGTCCCCATGGATGCACCCCGCATTCTGGTCATCACAGCGGATGGGCAGGAGGTCTGTGCTGGAATTAATTGGCAAGGAGCTGTGTGGAGGTCCTGGCAAGGTGTCACCTAGGGCCAAACAAGGTGGGACCATGGCTGGCTGGAAGGGCTACTGTTTTGATGCCTCATGAGGGTGTCGGGGCACGTCGTGAGCACCCCAGCGAGCAACAAGGCAAAGCCGTGGGAGATGCACCAAGCTCTGGCAGTGGAGCAGCAGCCACCTCTGCTCTCACCCATGACCGATGGACAGCATCTACCAACACCAGGAGCTTCATCCCTATCACTCCTGGGGACTTGGTCAGCCTGGCTGGTGGTTTGAAAGCTGCCCGGGCACGTTAATATGGCTACGGAGGTGCCTTTGACTTAAGAAATCAAGTGAAAAGCCCTGGAGAGATGGTTTACAGGCAGCCCCTGGTCTTCAGTTGCTAAAACACAAAGCAGAACCCTTCCCTGCCACCAGGACACCGGGTTCCCCAGGGCGCTCTCGGGTAGCATGATGCCACCAGGGATGGGGACCTCCACGGACCAGATGCTACCAAAACCGAAATGCACAAGCTTTGTCCCCGGGCAGGCGATTAGTGGGCTGGGTTTTGCTTACGCTGCTTGGAGAAGCACGGCGGCTCTGCAAGGCCAGGCAGGTCCTGGGTTTTCCAGACCTTTCATCACTTGGCCGGTGGCATATGTAAATCCCAGCTCAGGAAAATCCTGGCTGAGCTCTCCCTGTTCTCCACAGTCACAAAACCCAGCACTTTCCCATCAAAGCCCAGCACGGGAAGAAGAACTACACTCAGTGCGTGGTCCCATCTGCTCTCCAGAAGGTTACTCCCATCTCAGGAGCCCGCCTCAGCCTCTGTGGGACCTTTTTAGCCTCAATGAGACCTTTCACCCCCTGGCAATGATAATTTTTTTTGAGAAGGTTCCATTGCCCAGCGTAGCAGTGGCCGTCCCACCACCACTTCATGATATATTTCCCTCCCCACCCCAACCACCCTGCAGCAAGAGCACAAAATTTCCCATAGCCTTTGGTCCTCCGATCATACCTCAGGGCAACACCACCTCAGAGGCTTCCTGGATGGGCGGTCTGACCTCCTTGCTGCTCCAAACATCTCCTCCACACGTGCCAAGACAAGCGGGTCAGCAGGTGGCCTGGGGCTGGGTCCCCATGCCCTGCTGGCTTTGCCCCCAGGGGATTAGACATGGGCTGGATGCCCTATAGCCAACTCCATGGCCACATGGACCAAAGAGACACCATCACAGTCTCTACATTAAGCGCGGGATGGTCATAAGATGGTGCCATCCCCAAAATCCCCATCACCTTCCTCCCTCCATTCCTCCCCAGAATTGTGGGCAGCACCTGTGGAGCCCCTCCTCCAAGTCACCCGGACACGCATCTTGGTACCACCTGTGAGAAGCAGTTAGAAGTCCACGAGTGAAAAGAAATCCCAGAGGATAAATCAATAAACTGCTCCCAAACCTGGTTTTAATTATCATTATTAGTGCAGACTTTGATGGGGAGAAGGAGAGAAGAGCAGCTGGCCACGAGTGGCTGGTGAGGCCGGGGGAGCAGAGGTAGCTCTGATTTACCCGGTTAAGCAGATGTTCATCTCCAGTTGATTGCAGGGAGCAAAGATTGAGAAACGCAGTGATTGCGCAAAGCGGACGTTAACACATCTGTAACCCAAAAACCATGGAAGAAAAAACAAAAATACCCAAAACCCCCACATTCCTGCAGTGACACCCATCGGCTCCTCCCAAACACACGTGGCCGCCGTTGACATGGGTTCCACGAGCACGGGCAGGACCTGGCAGAGGAGTGGGCAAGCTGCCCTGCTGGGATGGTGGCCATCAGCCACAGAAGCTGGGAGGAAACCTTCCCGCCTTGGAAACACTGGTTTTTGCCTTCCTAATTTCAGGGGGCTCCTACCAATGCCAGTTCACCTTGGGCGTGATCACCACCACCACCACCTCCTTTATCTGCGGCTTCCCCGTCACCCCCGAGGTGGCTCCTTCCAGGCTTGCCCCACTGATCCCGTTGGGTGGCTGCTCCTTATCGGCATGGACCGGGGTGCATCGCTTCCCTTCTCCCCTCTGGGGAGGCACGCTGAGCGAGATAAGGATCTGCTGGCTCCGAAGCTGGGGTTGGGAGAGAAAGAGGACTCCCCCTGAACCACACGGGTGCCCTCCCCTCAAGGATGAGGTGGAGGAAGCCATCTGCCATCAGACACCCGCTCTGCCAGAGAGCCCGAGGGCACCGCGTGCTGCAGCCGTCCGCCTACGTGGCCGCCTGCGGGGCTGCCCATGGCCCGGGCATGCCGGCAAAGGCAGCCCCGCGGCTCGTGGAAAGGTGAAAATTAGCATCAAATAAGATCAAACCAAGCGAAGAGGTATGAGAGAAGCGTTGCGCTTCGCCAGTTGGTTCCAACACCCTTTTCTTTAGAGCTGCTGTGGAAGAAGACGTATTTTCCTCCAAAGCTTTGTGCAGGTTGAGACCAGTGGAGAAGCGAGACCTTACCACAGGCTTGGGAAAAACCAAACCCATAACCATGCTGGTTTGCATCTCGTTTTCTGCTGGGCCTGGCCAGATGCTTGGGCGAGGAGGGTCCATCTCCACCACCTTCGCAGCCAGGAGGGACCTTCCTCCTCTTCTCCACCAGCCTGCCCAACAGAAGGGGAGATGATGGGATGGTGGACCTCCATCTGGAGGACCTTCCCACCCACACACCCACGAGGCTGCGATGGGAGAGATGCCGGATCTGGGAGGATTTGGTGACTCCTGTGGAACGGGGTTGGGAAGGGCTCCCGGGGGAGCACCGGGGCTCACCGGGAAAAGCCAAGGAGCCGGAGCCGAAGGGCAGCCAGCCCCGGCACACCGGCCAGGCTGGGACGCGGCCGGCTGGGATTTTCAGCAGCTGAGTGAGCCAACAAAGCAAACATTAGCAAAGAGCTCCCGAGTCGTGTAAACAAACAACCAATTAAAAGATGAAATAAATCTCCCCGGGTACATAACCTTTCTATTTAAACACCGGCCAGCTCTGGAGGAGCTCCAGAGCATCTGACCCAGCGACGCCTGTGATCTACCTGCCCAGCTCCCGCGGGATGAAAGCGGTTGGGTTGCAGGGAGTGGCTTTAACTTTTCTACCATTTCCCCCCCCCCCTCCTCAACCCCTTCCTCTTAATTATATTATTCTTTCTTTCTTCTATTGGCTTAATTCCGAGGGAAACCCCCTCAGCCCCTTTCCTTCTGCATCCCCTTCCCTGTGCGGAGCAGGACAGGGGAAGTCATCACCGCCTCCCTCCGCAGCTCGGTTCCTCCACCTCTGGACTGTGCCGACCTGTTAATTATGGGATTTAAGGCTGGCGTATAGGAAAGACGGGGGGACCAAATTAACCCAGCCACCTTAACGGAGGAGCGGGAAGAGAAAAGCCAGGCTTTAAACGGAGGGAGACAGCCCTGGGGAAGAGTTCAGCACGAGGTTTTGCAGGGACAAGGATGCTCCGTGTCCACAGCAGGACAGGTCCCGGGTGTTTCAAAGCCAGAAATCCCAAAGTAGGCTAAAAACGATGGGGATGGATGGGAGGGATGCTGATATTTATTTCCCTGCCCCCGCCCCAAACCCTGTGTCTGGGGAATGTTTATTTTTGCCTTAAAGATTTGGGGTGGCTTGGCCTTCACACCTCGCGCTAAGCGGGACAGAGCGAGCAAGGAGCCGTTGCCTAAAACAGGAGGTGGGAAAAATACCACGGAAAAGCGGCGTATTTTGCAAGACTCACCTTTAGGCGAGGCAAGATGGGAGCTTGGCTTGCTCCATGCTGGAGCATCCTCACCAGAGCCGCTCGCCCCTGCAAACAGCTCCCATCACAGCAGGACCAAATAAGCATCGTTCACGTGGTAGCCAAAGGTGATGCTCAGTAGCCACGTGCTGGGACGGGAGGGGTAAGGTCCGGGCTCGGGGCGCCTGGCCCCCTCCAAGGTGCTTGTCGTGATGTTTACAGGGGTATTTAATAATAAATATATAATAACACCCCAGCACCCAGGAGGGAAAACAAACCTGACCGTCTGGAGGGCTGCGTCCTCCTCCCCAAGGACTTGGTCCAGCCTCCTATGAACGGTGACACCACCCTAAAGATTTTTACCCCGGTTTCTGTCCCCCTACAGCCCCAGCAGAGGGATGCAGGACATCGAGCCCCGGCTCCCTCCTCCCCGCACCCCACACCGTGCTCCTCACCGGACCCCCCCTCGTCCGCTCTGGGTCTCCCCCCGCGCAGCCGCTCTGCTGATTCAGGGCACCCCCGGGCGGTTTCAGCACAGCGGTTTAGACGGTTTCTAATCCCAGGCTTAATTTTTAAGCCCCGGGGGTTCTGGGTCCCGCAGAGGACAGAAAGCACTCAAACACACCCCCCTCCCCCAGCCAAGGTCATGGCCGAGTCACACTGACCCTTTCCAGGAGGGTCATGGCAATTGGGGAGCACACTGCTTTAATCAGGGTTCTTAATTGGGCTTAAAGCCATGCACCTGCAGGCTGTCGCTGCCCAAAACTGAGCGTGGAGGCCTGCGGGAAGGATGGCTAAGGGGGAGCATCGCTGCTTTTCGTGGCTGAACGCTTATTTTCCACATCAGCCCGACGCCAGAGCCTCTCCGCACCACCAGCGCATCGGGTCTTGGCCATCCCTCGCCTCTTTTCTATTTTGGAGAGAGAAAAGGCTCGCTCGGCACCAGACTGGAAGCTCTTTCAACCCTTAGTGATGGCGTTTCACCTTGAATAAAAACGGCTTTTGTTGAGGCGTTCGGTGTAAACTGGGGCAGCCACCAAAGCACCTATACTGACAGCTCTTCCCCACTTCCAGATCTCTGGTCTTGCGTGAAATATTTTGGGGGCAGGGACTGATGGGAGGTGCAGTTTGCTTAAAATATTAAAATAACTCCTTATTTAGAGGCCAAACATGCGGATTCACCCGTGCACCAGGGTGTGGCAGCTGTCCCCCTCCGGAAAGGGGATGGAGGAGGGGTGATGCAGCTTGGACACATCCTTACCTCTGGCAGGGAGTGGGTACCCCCCAAAATCCACCATGGCAGGGATGCTCGGTGGTACCCCCAAACCCCACCGTGGCCGGGATGCTCAGCAGTTACCCCCTAAACCCCACAGCGCAGGGATGCTCGGTGGTACCCCCCAAATCCCATCACAGCAGGGATGCTCAGCGGTAGTCTCAAATCCCAACCACAGCAGGGAATGCTCAGTGGTACCCCCAAACCCCACCACCACAGGGGTGCTCAGTGGTACCCCCAAATCCCACCATGGCAGGGATGCTCAGTGGTACTCTCAAACCCCACCATGGCAGGGATGTTCGGTGGTAGCTCCCCAAAACCCACTGTGGCAGGGATACTCAGTGGTAGCCCCCCAAACCCCCCTTCAGCAGAGATGCTCAGCAGTACCCTCAAATCCCACCACGGCAGGGATGCTCGGCAGTACCCCCAAACTTCACGATGGCAGGGATGCTCGGTGGTACCCCCAAACCCCACCACTGCAGGGATGCTCGGCGGTACCCCAAACCCCACCGTGGCAGGGATGCTCAGCAGTCCCCAGCTTCGGTCCTCTCCAAGCCCCCGTGGCAGATGGGGCACCCACCTCCCCTGGCACCAACCCCACCCTCCCCAGGGAGGAATTTATGAGCAGAGAGCAGGGGAGGGGGAAAAATAGACCGAAGCCCAGAAAACCTGCCCAGACAGGGAAGTGAAAGCCCCAAAGATAGAGCTCCCACTCTTTCACATCGGGGCTTTCAGTGATCACAGCTGCTTTCACTTCTCCTTCGCCCCTCCGCCTGTTCCTCCACCGGTGGGTTTTGGTTCCTCTCCGCTCCCCCACCACCTTCCCCCTTTCGAGGCCGAGCCTTCAAACCGCTTCAGCTTTTATTTCCAGTTTTGAAACCGCAGGGCTGCCGCCGGTTCCCATGTCTCTGCCCGGCTCCCTGGATGTGGTCCCCTCGGAGGAGCTGGGGACACGGTGGGGACACGGGATGATGCCGCAGCCGCGCCAGGATCTCTCCCCCTGCTCGGATGGATGCTCTGAGGGGGGGATGGACGCTCGGTAAGGGGAAGAAGAGAGGGGTGAGAAACAAGAAGCAGAGCGGAAGGTGGAGCTCTGGCTTTTCCATGGCATCTCCCACATCTTCGACTTCCAATAAACCCCCAATAAACACAATTATTGTTTCTCCAAAGAAGCGGTGAAGAAAGCGGGCGCTGCAGGGAAGCGCGGGGCTTTGTTCTGCTTGGGGTGATTTCAGAGCCGACGCATGCGAACGCTGGCGAAGGGTCAATATTGACTTTTGGCTGAAGCAACCAGCGGGGTTCATTGACTGGAGGCGCGCGGGCGCCCCGGCTGCCCCAAAACCCCGGGCTGCGGGGCCGCACCCTGCCCGCTTTTGCCCTTGCTGTGAAAAAAAAAAACCAACCCTTCCATTTAAAAGCAATCCCGTACCAAAGCGAAAAAGCTGCCGTGGATAAGGTGTCGCCTTTTCCCCTCACCGAGGCATCCCAGCGGCGAACCTGGATGCAGGGGTTCCCCCCCTCCCAGGGATGCTGCGAGGGCAGGATGCAGGCAGGGACAGGAGGTTTTTTGGGAGGGGGCAGAGGTCTGCCTGCGCCTTGGCACCCCCATCCCGGCGCCGAAGGTCCCTCCGACCTGCAGACCCAACTCCGCAAAACCTGCGGCTTTATCGGCCCAGATCTTCCCCCCCGTGGTGGTGAGCGGCCAAATTTTCCCATTTTTCCCATTTTTTTGCCCCATTTTATGCCTGATTCCCCCCCGCCCCTCCCCACCCCATCCTGGGGCTTCTGCCAGCCGCAGGCTGGGCTCTCTACCGGCCGCATTCCTTCGAGCTGACGTGGCTTTTCTTTCTTCCCCCATCCTTATCACGCTTGAGTTCATGAATCATATTTCTCCAAAGCTATAAACCACCCAAGCCACCCGTGTAAATCAAGCAAGACAGAAAGCAGAGCCGGGCACGGGGGTTCGGGCCGCGCCGGGGGGCACAGCTCTCCCGGGGAAAGGCTATTTGAGCCCTGCAAAAAAAGAAAAAAAAACCCAAAACTAAAAAAAATTTAAAAAAATATAAAATCCCTTTTATAAAGTTTTTTCTCGCTGCACTTTGTCCTCCCAAGGCCACAAATTCTGCTTTCCCTCGTTTCGGTGGCCGTGGGTGACTCACCGGAGGCTGCGAGCCATCGGTCCGGGGGATAAGAGCACGCCGGGCTGGGGTGCCAGGGGAGACCCCGATTTTTTGGGTCTCGACGGCAGAGCCCATC